ACAACACAAATACGTTTAAGTACAAAAAAATATTTGTTGTAAAACCAAAGAAAACATTGGCTGAAAATGTGTTACTTGTTGCAAAATTGTTATGTTTCTTTTGTGATTTATGCTGTTTCTCTTGAGCTTCTTATTGCTTGATGACCATCAGTCAGATAGTAGCTCTAGAAGTCTCTCCAGCTCTTCGATCTCTCTGGAGACATCTAGAAAAGAAATGTAAAAAGATATATGACATGCGGCAACAACCGAGATTAATTAGTCATACTTCACATTGCAAAAGATTGTTTGTTTGAACTCTTGTTTCTGTGGTGTAGTAGGATGACATTCTTACCCAGCTGTGTCTGTTTACTGGTTTGTGTTTCTGAGCGTTTTATTGCTTCCTGTCATTTTCAAGCAAGAACACTCTTTATGTCCAGCTTTACAAAGCATAAGAGAAGAGTCCATTTGTCTTTAGCCACTGTTATTATGAAAATCTGGCCAATTATTACTCCCATTATTACACTTCTTTTTTCAACATGCTGTCCCAACAGCACATTAATATGCAAATTAGCTAGTGTTTAGATAACATTGTGTTTAATGGGAAAACCAGTTTATGGAAATTTTACACACATATTGCATAATGTAAAATGGTATATCAAATCATTTTGTTATATATTTTATAACAAAGTTTGGTATAAAGAAAATCCTGAAACCTAAAAATTTATTGGTGATTTTTTTTTTAAATCCCATTGTTTTCGCCTTTTCATGTCTATTCATGTCATTTTGTTTTTTAGAAAAAGTGAGTCCTGGTGTTCTTCCATTTTCTTCTTATGCTGTAAACAATGTAATGACATGAAAAAATATTAAATTCACAAAGCTTTTTTTTTTCTGGTTCTCAGGAGGATATAACTGCCATGAAACCTGCCCTAAAGCTTCTTGAGGCACCAGTTTTTGAATATGTAATGAGCGTGGGATTTGATGTTTATGGTAACTGCTGAGGATGGAGATGAAGAAAACTGAATAAAGACTCAAATTGGGGTCTGTTCTGTGCAATCTTATAGATTCTGAAGATTTGGATTTTACTGAGGATTTGTGAATTTATTTTGTTCTATTTATGGTTCTATTGCCAGTCAGCATATAGGCCTAAAAAACAAATGTTGTGTCCAATGGCAAACAATAAATATCACATGCTAAGTAATGTTTCGTTTTATCATTTCAATCTCTCACCACTAAAACTTGTCACTCACATGAAACAATCGCAGCAATTAGCAAACTGTATACACTTCATACATTCCACTCAATTCTCGCTTGAAAATCGAGCTCTGTCCAATTTTTCTTGTTTGAGAAGTAATTTCACTCAGATATATGTCAAAATAAGGAAGAAAATAATTTATTTTCATTCTGACTTTAATACTTAAAGCTTTTCTAACACTGTAATACATTTAGAAATTAGAAATATCTCGAGAGCCTGTCTTGACTGTCACTACTGCATGACATGTTTCAGAAAGACCTTTGCAATTACATTCCAGTCTATACAGTAAATGAATCAAATATATTAAGGTTCTTGAAAATTAAACAGCTACGTTATTGACGTCCATCTCTTGCTGTAAAACAGTTATAATAAAATCAACTAATTAGTATACAGTTTGTGTATCATGCAACCCTAAAATAAAACAAGTAAATAAGTTCAGATAAGTTCAAATACTTCACATTGCAAAAGATTGTTTGTTTGAACTCTTGTTTCTGTGGTGTAGTAGGATGACATTCTTACCCAGCTGTGTCTGTTTACTGGTTTGTGTTTCTGAGCGTTTTATTGCTTCCTGTAGTTCATTTTCAAGAACACTCTTTATGTCCAGCTTTACAAAGCATAAGAGAAGAGTCCATTTGTCTTTAGCCACTGTACAACTGAATACATGATCATCTTAGGTCATATGATGCATTTTCATAATTTCCTTTTTCTTTAATGTGTTATGTAGCGGTTTGTGCATGTATAAGATCTGCAAAGTAACAAAGCTCAAATTTTTTTTTCTATCTAAAAGAGAGGGCTGACCGAAACTTGCTGAAAACACCCTGATCCAACTCTCCCTGACATATCTACGTCACTATGTGGAAATATTTGCATAATGCCTCCAAAATGTATACGCAAAGTACGGCAGTATACGCAAATATATACGCAAGGTATGGCAGTAGTGTTGTTGCCACCATGTTGTGGAGACGCTGTGTGTTTCTACACGAAAGCAAAAGCACTTTATTTGGCCTTCTGAAAGTGGATGCAATTAGGAATCAGTGGTTGAGATTTATTTACAACACTGTTCCAGAACAGTACAACCAGTTCGAGAGTGCAATGCATTTTACAGAGGACAGTTTCCAGAACCTGAGAGAGTACAAGGCTGGCTGTGCATAAAGGCTGTTTCTAAAAAATGAGGCAATGCCAACTTTGCTAGGACAATATGGAGTTTGGAGCCAGTGGGTATGTTTTAATATTTGCTATTGACTGTTCAAATGAGGAGTTTGGTGAACTGTAGAGTAAAGCATATTGTTTGTTGTTCTTACGATCACAAGTGCAGAAATTGATTTATGTTTACAAACATAGTATCCTCTGTTCTCCGCTTATAACTGGAGGCGAAATGACAAGAAACATAGATGCACTACGTGTTCTGTTTCACACTGGATGCCCTTTTACACCGGCGGCGTCACATGCAGGTTTAAGTTATCACTCTGATACATTCGGCTCAAGCCACGCTTGCAAAGTTGTTTCAGATCGATCGGCTTGGTCAAATGCATTTTCAGAATCTGACTCTGGCTCAAACTGATATGGTAAAACTGATGACATTATTTACTGTCTTTATAATTGCTTTGGAAGCTGAAGCTCACGATTATGGTAAGGGACGTTACATTCCTGACACACGTTTGAGATGTTTGGCCAATCACAACGCACTGGCTCAGCTGGCCATTCAGAGCACACTGGGCTTTTCGGAAGGAGGGGCTTTGTATAAATCGGTGTGTTTTAGGAAGACGGGGCATAGAGGATCTACAATAATGAACAGTACTTGAAAAATAAGGTGTTTTTTGAACATTAAAGCAGGCTAACATATTCTATTATACCCAATACACAAAATAACAAACTTTGAAAAAAGCATCATATGACCCCTTTAATGAATATGAGATTAGTACCTTTAAGTTTTTAAACCTTTTTAGCACTTCCATTTTTGCTTTGTTGAACATGTCTTGTTTTATCTCATCGACTGTGGTTATTAACAGGTCTTGCCGTTTCTTCATGGATCCTGTTCCTGTCAAAGCTGCAGCTTCTAAAATAAACAACACTCTGTATTCATTCATTTTCTTTCATATAGACACACCAGAACAAGGAAATAAAAAATTTCTTGGATATGCTTTTCATGAGTTAATTGTATTTTGTGACATGCTGGGTGACCTTTTTATTAATGAAAGCTGTTTTCTTTTATGCACCAAATAAAAAGTAGCTACAATTTACATGAAAATAGTTTTGGATTAATTGTAACTCTTAATGCTAGCTTACGATGATAGCAAGAACTCATTTCGTTCTCAATTGTTATTTGTATTGATGAGTAGATATCCTTCTTCATCTCAACAATGTCTCTGTTGAGTGCTGCCTTTAGTTTGGTTTCCTTTCAAAAGGGGAAAACACAAAAAAAGTCAGAAAAGTCTTGAAACACTAAGCGCCTGCTTACTTCAGTCTTACATTAAAGGTTTGTTTTGGTGTATTTCAGTGCTTACTGGTGTATAAAAGAAGCCTGCTTAATTATAAGGAATGTAGATTCATACAGACTTCAACAGAAGGCAGACATAGAGGATCAGGGCCAGAGTATGACCCATTAGTGTCCCCAAGAAGACAACTGAACTCACCTCTGTTTTGATGAAGTCCTGAATGTGATGTAGTATGTCAGAGCTGGGGTAAGCAGAGTCACTCTGGATGATACTGAACTTATCAATCTGTTCCTGCATTGACTTTCCTGTTTTTTCAGTTGCACTAGAGCCAAAAAAAAACATTTAGAGTCCATTTATTTTAAAAACATTTTACAGAATATATTTGTAATTCTTGATATATAATCTGAGAATTACTGAAAGGAAATAGTGATGAGAAAGGCTAAATTCCCCCCAAAAAACTAAGTTTGCTTTATTTTTCTATAGTTTACCTTATGTGGCTGTCATGAAAAATTAACTAAAGATTCAGACCAGAAGGGACTTGGGAGGTGAGCAAATCATTTAATTTTCCTAGGCTTGTCTAAATGACCCAGAAGAAAGACCAGTACTCATCATAACTCACTAATATTTTGGGTCCTGCATGGGTGTCATGTGTGACCAACATAAAGATGTCATTCCCTTGTTATTCCCTTGACAAAACATTTGGCCTCAAATTAATCTAAACCCAATCGGAATTTTCCTGGGCATCTCTCTCATTTGCTGGTTTACTGCAATCTACAGTTGGTCCACATTTACAAGCTCTGCTCAAGTTTGTGCTCCAATACAATGTTTATATTTTGTAAACAAAATGCTAATAATATAATTAACAACAATGTTAATTAAAAGTACTTAAGCATTAAAAAAATTAATTTAATTAAGTTAATGCCCTAAAAATCAACAACAACCATTGTAAATAGTTTATTGCCTTTTATTCTAAACTACACAAAGGGGGCTAGAAATGGATTGATAAAACAGAACTTACAGAAAAATCTGACAGAAATATTCCTCAACGTATTTGTGCAAATGTTCGGCTAATGACTTGTTTAGGTCTAGAATTACATTCCAATTTTTTGACCAATAGCATCCGTAGTTCCTGCACAAAGCACCAAGGATTTTATGGAACCCCCTTCCATCTTTTTTCTGAGTAAAAAAAAAAAAAAAAGTGTTAAAAGGACAAGAAAATGGTGATTATGCAAAACATTTGAATCACACTCACAGGTGCTATAAATTTTTTTGTGGAAGCTACACATGATTGCACTGATTCTTCCACTCCATTTGAGAGACGCCGCTCCAGATCTTTATAAATGCTGTCAAAATATTTGTCCAGTTCAATTAGTGCCTTCATTAGGTTCTTCTCAAATTCGTTGCGGATGTTGACTTTCATTTCAATCTAAAACACATCCATACAACAGCAGTGAATTAAATAATAAAACACAATGGCAGCATTCTGAAGACACTCTAATCCTAATTCTAATTCTGATTTTGTACCATTTTCTTGTCCGTATCCAGCTGGCCACTTTGGATCAAGGACAAAACTCCCTTTGCTTTATTGACATAATCTCTGGTCAGTTCTCGATTAATGCTCTTGTTAAGATTCCTTAGATCATCCTGCAGATTTGGGATTTCTACAGATAGACACAATGTTATTTGGACTCATTTGGTCAGTGCTTTATCTCGCTTTATAAAATATTTATAAAACATTTTTTTTTTTTTGTCATTAAGTTCTCAAATTAAAGAAATAGACAGAGGATAGTTTACCTGTTTCACTTGATTTCAGATTTAAATTGTGGTCAAAGAATGCTTTGGAACTTACAGTAAAAACTTGAAACTGATTGTCAGTGTTGAATATTTTCTAAAAAGAAAAAGTAAAGTAATAATAATAAAAATGAGAAGAAAACCACATATCAATAGTTTTTAAAAAGTAATTGTAACAAAAAAAAGATAAGAATTAATACCTTTTTAATTCCAGACTTTTCAAACTTTTTTTTTACCCTTGTCTTGGCATGTTCATTTCTATGAAGTATGTATGCTTTTTCCTGATCCTAAAGAAAGAAGAAAAACAACAGACAAAGGCACACACACACACACACACACACACATATGTAATAAGTAAAACATGACATAAGTAAAACCAGCAAATTTACTCAGAATCAACAGTACAAACTTACAGGGGAAACTGACAGCTAAATTACGTACAGGTTCATGAAAACAAAGAGTCCATACAACAGAAAAAGTGCTAGTACAGTCCTTCTACATTTTACAAACCTTGTCTTCTGAGATTTGGTCTCTTGGAAGCCGTGCAGATCTAAAATAATAATAATAATAATAATAAGTTGTGAAGTGTTGCATGTACTAGAATTACACTTCTAAGCCCTTCATTTCCTATACATAATATTCACAAAATACCTCATATACTCTTTTGGATTGAAGTCATCAGTCTTTGTACAGATGAAGTTGATGCTTTTGCATTTTCCTCCTGGTCCCAGTTCTTCAATGCAGTGCTTTAATATCCCCCAGGGGTCTCTGTCAGTGATTGCTCGATTGATATTACTTACAATCCACACAGAAGAGCACTCTCTCAGTTTCTACAGGAATTGAAATAGTGAGTTAGGGGACTTAGTTAGGGTTCATAGTGACACAATAGATTTATTGTGTGGTTGTACAATGTATTTGGCAAAAGACTCCTTTTAAAAGAGTGTAATAATATATTTACAGATTTCCACAGGTCATCTCTAGTCCTACTGCAGTCTCCACTCCCAGGAATATCAAGAAGCACAATGTGCTCCAGGAGTTCATGACAGTCTGGAATCTTGATTGTCACAGTTTTCACAAGCGGCCAGAACCAGTCACCAGGACTTGACTCACTGTGTTGTATGTAATTTGCAACATTGTTGGTAAATTCATAGGCCTGTTGAGATGATAAATTGCTTTGTTTTACTTTGCTGAAAAGCAAATTAACAAATACATATAATATGTTAAATATTAATCGGTGTCCTAACACTTACATTACTGTTTGAGATTATTTTCTTACTGACAGACAAAAAGTTTTCAATCTCAGCAAATTTTTCATCATTCTGGAGCTCTTCTAATGTTTTATGGTCTGCATCAGCTCCATATAGCATAGTGATCTTTTCTGTAGCAACCTCCTTCAAGTCATCATCATCGTCCTCATCTTCATCTTTTATATCTCTGAAAAGTTTTTTGAGTTCTTTCTCCCACTCCTGCAGAGGTACACAGCACAAAGTATAGAGGAAATTAAGGCTTAGTTCTGTTCCAGCCAGTCTGATTTATTTACATATTTATAAAGAATTCTCATTAAAGGCATGGTAAGATAAATGAGGAAACCTCTTTAGAGATTAATTCAATCTCTGCTATGTAGTTGGAGTCCGTAAGATTGGCTTCCACCTGAGTAACAACAGCTGTACAAGCACTAAGACAATCAGACGGTAGGAGATCCTGTTTCCCCAAGACTGCACTTAATAGGGCGCTTTTTCCATCTCCTGATTTTCCAAAAATCCCTATGGTTTCCTTCTTCCTGCTGCCTTTATCCATTTGATCTGAATTTTTAGTGACTCTTTTCAGAATTTGCCTTGCATTCTCCGTGATCATATCTGTGTGCAACAAAGAAAAGAATTACAATAGGGGTGAATGTCTGTGTGCGTGTGTGTGTGTGCGTGTGTGTGTGTGTGTGTGTGTGTGTGTGTGTGTGTGTGTGTAGCTTTGTTTTTCTGTTGGAATCTTGTTTTTCTTTCACGATTTCATCAAACAACTGTACAACTGGTAAGAACTGGTAAGTTGGAATCATTCAACAATCACGGTGAGTAATGGATTCTCCTGTTATTGTTACTTGCGCTGCTTGTCACATGTATAGTGTAGCTTTCTCTGTCAGCAGCAACATGTGATAAATGCAGGAAAATAGTTAAGCTGACAGAGACGATTTCAGAAATGAGTACTCTAGCGCAAGTTCAACCAGGAAGACTCTAATGTGACGTCATTAATTACTCCTAGATCTAGCCAATCATCACTTGACACCTGGAGTATATTAGTTCTGTTCTCACTCATTACTGTGTTAGCACATACTGCTGCCGCTGTTCAACCCCATCCTCCCCACCACCACCAGGTCAGTCCCTGTCCATACATCAGGGGATAGGCTCCGTCCCTGCCTTCATCTTCAGGCAGGAACTGCAAGCATCCACATCTCTCTGGATTCTAACTATGGACGGGGCCTACGCCAAAGAATTATTTCTTATCATCTAACAATTTGAATACTACTTGTTAAATAAATCTTATTCAGATGTTCTCTTGCCTCCCGAATCTTTCTGGTAGAACCAGAGACATGCATCCAAACTTTAACTGAGGATAGTAAGAATGTGAGGGCCTTAGATACAGCTTTGGATGCGACTAGCTTAACGAGTCCTGTTCATTGTTTGGTTCTAGTTGCAGAGACCCCACAGCAGGGTGACTGGGTGACTGTGAGGCGGCATAGTCGTGGGACAAAACACCGCTCTTCTGTTCCGATCAAAACATTAAACAGGTTATCCCCACTCAATGACACACCCACTGAGAAACGTGATGAAAGTGCCCTAGTTATTGGTGATTTTATTGTATGGAACGTGAAAATAGAGACACCAGCCACCATAGTCCAATGTTTACTGACATGTGCCTGACATCTTGGCAAATTTAAAAGTGCTGGCTAATGCTAAAAGTAAATTCAGTAAGATTGTTATTCACAACGCCACTAATGATGTTCAACTTCGTCAGTCAATTGCAAGTACGATGTCAGACACAATAATATGCTCTGGTCCCCTCCCTGCTTACCGTGGTGATGAGATACATAGCAAACTGTTGTTGCTTGTTTGTAGACTTCAGTTCGGCCTTCAATACCATCATGCCTGACCTTTTCTCAGACAAATTGACCCAGCTCTCTGTGCCCACCCCAATCTTTCAGTGGCTCACCAGCTTCCTGACAGACAAGCAGCAGCTAGTGAAGCTTAGGAAACCTTCCTTAGGAAACTCACATCCAAGACTGTCATGATCAGCACTGGTGCCCTTCAGGGATGTGTGCTCTCCCCACTGCTCTTCTCCCTGTATACGAACGAATGCTTTGCAAAAGACCCCTTTGGTTAAGCTCCTGAAATTTGCAGGTGACACTACCATCATCTGCCTCATACACAACGGAGACGAGTCTGCTTACAGACAGGAGGTTAAAGAGCTTGTTGTCTAGTGCAGTCACAACAACCAGGAGCGGAACACACTCAAAACAGTGGATCCTGGGCATCACCATCTCTCAGGACATCAAGTGGGACACTCACATAGACTCCATTGCTAAAAAGGCGCAGCCTAGGTTGCACTTCCTTCGCCAACTGTGGAATTTGAACCTGCCACAGGAGCAGACAATTGGACAAGTTTTTGGGGCAAACCTGACCTGTTTAAAAGAGATGGTCTTCATCCCTCCAGGGGTGGTGCTTCTCTTCTCTCTAGAAATATGGCAGTTTGTACTTGCCTAACTGGGGCCCAGGTCAGGAAGCAGACATTCTGGCTAAACTGACCGTCTACTAGCTGCATCACGTCAGATAAGTCAGTAAATTCTCAGCACATAGAGACTCTTTCACCTAGATATCATACTACACAGACTAGTGTACTAATATCATACCACAAATTCAAAAAACGTCCAAACCAGTTTAAGAGTAACAATTTAATTGATGTTCAACAAATAAAAAAACAGATATTATACTGATAAACAAATGATAAAGCTTGGCTTAATGAATATTAGATCCCTTTCTACAAAAGCGCTTTTTGTAAATGATTTGATCACTGATCATAACCTGGATGTGCTCTGTTTGACAGAAACCTGGCTAAAACCAGATGATTACATTACTTTAAACAAGTCTACCCACCAAGATTACTGTTATAAACATGAGCCAGATCCAAAAGTTAAAGGGGGAGGTGTTGCTACAATTTAAAGTAATATTTTCAGTATTTCTCAGAGGTCAGGTTTCAAGTATAATTCATTTTAAGTAGTGCTGTCAAACGATAAATCGCGATTAATCGCATCCAAAATAAAAAGTTTTGTTTACATTATATATGTGTGTGTACTGTGTATATTTATTATGTATATATAAATATGCACACACATGCATGTATATATTTAAGAAAAATATTTTATATTTATATATTAAATGTATGTACAGTATATATAATATAAATTATATGAATATAAATATAAACAAATAAATGCATGTAAATATTTTCAAAATATATACTGCATGTGTGTGTCTTTATATATACTAAATAAATATACACAGTACACACACATATATCGTGTAAACAAAAACTTTTATTTTGGATGTGATTAATCGCGATTAATTGTTTGACAGCACTAATTTGAAGTAATGTTGCTTCATACAACATTATCTTGAGTAATGTTAAGTGTTAATGATAAATCCCCTGTGACGTTTGTACTGGATACTGTATACAGGCCACCAGGGCACCAATTAAAGAATTTTGCAGATTTTCTATCTGAGCTAGTGCTGGCTGCAGATAAAGTCTTAATTTTTGGCGACATTAATATTTATGTAGATTTTGAAAAAGATGCTCTGGGATCAGCATTTATAGACATTCTAACCTCTATATTGGGGTTTGACGACACGTGTCAGGATGTACTCATTTTCGTAACCAAACTCTAGATTTAATACTGTCACATGGAATTGATGTTAATGACATTGGAATTCTGCAGCAGAGTGGTGATATCTCAAATCATTTTCTAGTCTTGTGAATACTCCATACAGCTAAAGCTGCAAATTCAACTCCTTGATACAAATATGGTATAACCATCACTTCTACCACAAAAGACTGCTTTGTACATAATCTTCCTGACTTGTCTCAAATCCTCAGCATATCCAATAGCTCAGAAAAACTAGAAACTGGACTTTCTCTTTACTAGCACTTTAGATTGCTCCTTTAGGTTGCTCCTTTACGCTTAAGTAAGATTAAGGAAAATAGTCCGAAACCATGGTATAATGAGCACACTCGAGCCTTAACCCTCTGGGGCCGAAGACCGCACCGGTGCGGTCTGTCTAGTTTTTTCTTGATGACCGCGAAAAGAGCTAAAAACGCCTTGTCATTTTTGATCATACAGATAAGAATAAGGTATTGTTTGAAACTGCAAAGGGTCTACTTTTATTTGTGTATAGTCATAATAACAACAAAACAATGTGCTTTTGTAAATTATAGAAAATAAACAGAGTGTGCTCTCTGCCGTCTCGGTCTCTGTCACCTCTCTTCACAGACACGTAAATAAAACAACCTCAATCGCAGCGAATCCTTGCCTCACAGACATAAGAAATATATGTATAGAAAGCTTGAAATGTCTACTTTTAAATTAAGTAAGTCACGTCGAAAACATATTCTCTGATAAAGTAGTCCATATGAAACCAACGGAAGCTCCAGTTTTTCCTGTCTAAACTTATTATCTCTAATGTGAACATGCCCACAAGTGGCTCCACTTTTCCAATTTTAAATATCCATGTGAGATGCGTGGACATGTAAACACCCACATCACCTCCGTAAACAAACGTGAACATTCATCAAGTTTTCTACATCTACTTTTCGTTTCTGGAAGATGATGCGCTGAGAGGAATAACCCAGAATTTACCTCAGAAGAAGAGAGAGAACGCAATGCAACACACAGCTTGATCCAGTGGAGGAGATCATTCTGATGAGTAAGATTACTTGCATCTGTTGTTATTGTGTTGTTTGAAATATGTAATTTCATTGCATTTAAATGTCTCACAACGCCAGGATGTTTTTTAATGTTCTATAAAATATAAACCACAAGATTTAAAAGTGGTATGAGTGTTTACACTGTTTACACAGTGAGTCTAAGAATGTTTGGCACAAAGGTGTGTTACTGTTCAATTCTCAGTGTTTAGATCAGTATGTTTAATCATGTGTCCATGACCTTCACTGTGTTAGACCTACATTTTGATTATACTGTGTTGTAAATAAAATACAAATAATCAAAACCCCCATTTATATTTTACTCTTCTCACATTATGTTACCTGTCTCACAGACACATTACTGACTGATGGCTCATTATGGGAGGCCCTTTGTCTCTCAGGTGTGAAACACTAAATATTCATGGCCATTGTCACTCCCTCACATACCGCCTTTCTAACACAAAGCATGTCTTAAGCCCAAGACACACTGCACGATTTTCGGCTGTCCCAGACGAAAGATTGGCACCATGAAACAATCATGGCGAATCAGAAATCACCAAGATTGTTTCACAATGCCAGTCTTTTGTCTGGGACAGCCGAAAATCGTGCAGTGTGTCTCTGGCTTTACAAAAGTAAAATCAATATATTGTTTTCTGTGAATGAATGAGCGGGATGATTTTCACATTATTTTCATCAAAAACTCTAGTCTACCACATCCAGTTCTTAAAAGTCTTGTGAACAAATGTTCTGTATGTGTTTTATGGTCTTATTTCAGTGACTTAGTTTTTCACTAACCACGCATAAATGTTGTTTTCTCAAAAACACAAACATGTACATTTATGTTGCTCACACATTATTGTAGCCCAGTTTGTGCTGCTTACAGTGTAATCAG